CCACAAAGAGAAATTTTAAGGAATATAGTGTTTCCTTTATTGCAATTTTATGCTTAATCATGGGGAAAAACCCCAAATATAGTTTTCATAAAATTAATTTTCAAAGAACTGGAGATAACTGAAATTTATATAGTGTGTTAAATCAGCCAGAAAAAAAAAAAAAAAAGAAAAAAGAAAAGGCATTTCCTTAGCAAATGGAAAAAAATAAAGTACCTTTGAAAACAACTGGGTGGATTTTTACACTGTCTGATGATTTCTTATAGAAATGCAGCTTGCATAAACCTGTACTTGATAAATGTAGTAGTTTGTTAAACTGTTTTTCTTTTTTGGATTAACTATAGTGGTTACTGTTCTTTTGTATTAAAGAAAAGTGAAGAATCTGTAACTAGTAGGATTTGTTTATTTTATTTTACTATATAAAATACATAAATGATCTGTGCATGCTAACACAAAATTAGGTTCTCAATTAAAGTAGGTATGGAGGTTTTTATATAGCTACTGATACTTTAAAAAGTCAGTTGGGGAAATCCAAAATGCTTGTATTTATCACTAGTATCATTGCTAAAATGAAGTGCCAGCCCTAATGCTAACTTTGATTGCTGGAAAGCTGCCAGCTCTTCACTATCCGGCAAAAATATATTTTACTTGAACTAAGAAAAAATGCAATTGTCCCTCCCCCTCCTTATTCCCACAAACTGGAACAGTGTTACGTTAGCATGCGTTGTGCTGAGCCGAATCCAATCTGGAATTAGGAATGCTCCAGGGCATTTTTAATAAACTGTCATTCATCTGAACTCTGCCCTTATTTAATTTGCAGAATCTGGTAATGCAGATGTACACTTCAGCCACATTAATTTTTTTTTTTCTTTTCTTGTCTTTGTGTGAAATGCTACTGGTTGAACTTGAAAATGTGAAGCTGCAGAACAAGTAGAAAGTGTTCACTTAAAATAGACTCAAAACTAAGAAAGAATTATAACAGTTAGTTTGCTGGTTTTCTGCCATTCTGAAATGTAAACTTAATTCTAGTACTGATTATAATAAAATCCTTGACTCTGAGGTCAGTTAGGCTTTCTGAAAGTATGAAAAAAAAGGCTTTTATTAGGAGATGCAAAGGATAAAATTAAGCTGTTGTCTTGCAAAGGGGAAGAACACCCAGTTGATAATGTATTCAGGGCATAGAGCGCTTGCTAGGAGAGAACTTTGTGTTCGGTGAAGTTCTCACAGTAAACTCTTTCAAAACCTGAATTCTTATTAATTCTTTAGCTGTTATCTAAAATGGCTAAGTTGGTGATTAGAAGTAGTTAGACAAGGAGATATAGTGCGGAAAAAATGAGCATGCGTTCGGGCCCTGGGTGCCTCCCTGGGCCGGGAGCTGCCCCTCGGCAGCCTCCACTTTGGGCTGTTAACATGACCCTGCCGGCAGGGGGCGCTGCAGGGCGGGGGTGCGCCAGCCCCAGCAAAGACCTCGGCAGTGCTTGCACAGGGACAGTGCCTGCCCCAGCTTCAGCACGTGAGGGCATGTAAAATGCTGCCTGGGTTTTAGACTATGTTACTGACCAACAGCCATTGCTTTGGGAGGCTTTGCTAAATGTCTGTGTAAATAAAGGTCTTAAGGATGCATAGGTGATAATAGAGGTAGGATAGGTGCTTCAGATTGGGGGGAAGATGGCTGGATGAGATATTACAGGTAACAAATGTGGTCATGAATGCAAACTTTATCTTTAGTACAATGATAAGAAAAGTATGTAATTGTGCTAATTGGTCATTACTGAACTGATACTTCAGTAGGGGACTCAGTTCAATGTCTGGAGAGTGGAAAAACTAAAAAGAAACTAGAAGGCAGATTCTTTGGAGAGGAAAGGAATCCGGGATGCACATTACTCTCTGATGAAGTGCATCTAAATGCAGCAAAAGAAGTATTTGCTGTAGGTCAGAAAGCTAAAATTTTTCACTGGTGGTACTGAATTTGTTTCCATTTCTTACAGTAGGACTAGAGTAGTAGTAAATCATAGAATCATAGAATGGTTTGGGTTGGAAAGGACCTTAAAGATCATCGAGTTCCAACCCCCTGCCATGGGCAGGGACACCTCCCACTAGCCCAGGTTGCTCAAAGCCTCATCCAGCCTGGCCTTGAACCCCTCCAGGGATGGGGCATCCACAGCTTCTCTGGGCAACCTGGGCCACTGCTTCGCCATGCTCACTGATAAAAATTTCTTCCTAATATCTAATCTAAATCTGCCCTCTTTCATCATTAATGCTTAATTTTCTTCTGCTTTCATGTTAATTCTAATATCAAAGAACAGAACATGTACTTGCACTAATAATTTGGTTTATGTTTTACAATTTTTTTCCCCTGCTAGACTTTTATATATTGATAATACTGCCTTCCATGTTTAAAGTTAATTTTTCATTGTAATATATCTGCTAGAGCTATATAGTAAATGTGCTAGGATGATTATGTGCGCAACTTCAGCATTCATACATTTACATTGGATAGCAGTTGATTAAAAAAAAAAATTCTTCTGCATGTGCCTGCTGGTTGAAATCTGCTGTAGGTGTTGGTGAGACAGTTAACTAGGAAAACATATAACTCTAAACTTGGGTCGTATTCAAAAAATGAAGGAAGAACTAGCTGGCAAATGTGTTGAAAGTGTAGATGAAAGTATAACTTTCAAGTCTACATGTGTTAACGATTCGTGGTTTGAAAAAGTTTTCATATTCAAATTTTTAAAGGTTTTTTCCCTCTCTTTGATCTCTTTTGTCTGGTAGTATAAGAGTATGTTATTAATATACATTAACAAATCCACAGCTTTGTTTTCCACAGGTCTTTAATTCCCTTAAATGTTTTTAAATGTAACTGATGTGATATATCAGAATTTAGGTGAGCATTCAATCAGTCAACAGGTTGGGTACTAAGTTAGCTGAACCTGTGGGAAAAGCAGTACAATGATACGAAAGATGTGGAAGTTCTACTATTCTGTCTTTTTACATTCTCATCTGCCAAACAAATCTGCAAATGTAATGTGGAGTGACTTGGTATTTAAAGACACTGTCTCAAGGCAAGAGTCTGTATGTATGAATGAATGACTTTGCATTCTTGAATCCTTACTACTGTTTCCATTAATGTATGTTGCCTGGAATTAGTGGCTGGACACTTGGCAGAAACTATATGGAGTTTCTAAAAAACACAAGGATGAGCCTAAGAAATAACCCAACAAAACAGGTAGAACTACCGTATTATGTGTTAGTAGTTGAGGCGTGCTCTTGTTGGAGACAGAATGGGTTTGTTTTATTGTACTAAAACAGCAAATGAAGTATCTGGCGTTATATTAGAAATTGATTATTTTTTTAACGAAATATGATCTCTCCCCTGTTTTTTTTTTTTCCTGGGAGCTAAGTGCAAATCCAGCTTTTTAAATGATTTTATTTCCCTCAAGTATACTTTCTGTTTGCTGCTTCTACTGTGAAAGTTCAGTAGATAGTCATTTTACAAAGATATCTAAAGCCTTCATCTTTATTCATGGTTTGCTTTAGTAGAATGTTACAGCTGCACACACTCTGATGCAAAATTTGAGCTCCTTGTTATTTCATTTCATTGATCTTATTAGACCGTTCATAAAGATGCAGATACAGCTGATGTAGAAGGAGTAGGTAAGCAGTGTATAAATTTCAAAGAGGATATGAGTCCTCATTACAATTTGATGAAGTCCGTATTATTAATTTTGCTTTATTGAACCTGTTGTATAGGATGTGTGTTCAAATAGAAACAAAAGTATGTGGCTTACAGACACTGATTGCATGCTAGTAGGATTTAGATAACACCAACAAACAACAATTAAGATGAACTTGAGAGAAAACATTTATTTTCTCTGTAGCCACACTGATTATAGTGGAATATTGTCAGACTTTTCAACACACCAGCAAATGTGAACACTTTTCCATGACTTGCGTAACGTTAACAACTGGAATGTATTTGAAAAGGGGGAAATCGTACTGGTGTCCTGGTTACCAGAGACTATTCGTGACCCTCTGATTCTGTGAATATAATGATTAACCCACAAGTAAATTTTCTACTGGCAGACAGGTGTCATATGTAGTCTCCATTCTTTAGTGTGTTCTTTAAATAATATGATAGGTCCTGTCATACACTTTTTTTTTTTTTTACTTCTGAATTTTGTTTTCTAAAAGGATAATGGTTTTCTGAATTTCTGCAGTAAACAATTTATCTCGCATCCAGTTGGTATTTACCAATGCTAAAGAAAGAGTGGGATCACCCTAACTTTCCTACATTTCATACTTCAGAGATTCTCACAGTTGTCATGAGGAGAATAACTTGGTTGTTCTGAGAACAGCAACAGACATTTGAAGTTCAGAATCAGAGCATAATTCAGGTTAGAAGGGACCACTAGAGGCAATGCAGTCTAAACCCCTGCTCAAAGCAGGGATAACTTCAAAGTTGGATCAGGTTCTCCTGATCTCTTCAGTCAAGGTCTGAAAATACTCAAAGACTGGAGAGTCTACAGCTTCCTTGGGCAACCTGTTCCTCACGGAAGGGTGTGCATTTTTTGATGAGAAAAAAAAAGAAAAGACTGTCATGACCAGTTTTATGTTAAAATATGTATCTATATCTGCACCTGAAATTTCTGAAATTGCTATTATGATGAGTTACCACCACCCTGAATTTAAATACTATAAATGGTGAAGAAAATAATTATAAATTGTGTCTGTATGTGGCAGTTGCACAAGTTAAATGGCTTTCTGGCAATCTGTGTTCTGTTTTGTATAAATGTTGCTTATTACTTGATGGATTAATGGAAACATTCAGATTTTTTGGTATTTAAAGACTACATTTGTTGGTTTTTAAAACAGTTAAGACAGGAATAGATTTGAACAGTCATTTACTTAAAGTAATTACTTTTTTTTATTTTATTTTGTATTTATATAGATTTAAGATTTACTTATTGTAAAGAATATGAAGCTTAAAATGTTCTCTCTCTTAGGTAGAAGAGCTGATGAATGCACTGGAAAAGACTAGACAAGAATTAGATTCTACCAAAGCCCGTCTTGCCTCAACACAGCAGTCTTTGGCTGAAAAAGAAGCACATCTGGCTAACCTGAGAATAGAGCGGAGAAAACAGCTTGAAGAAATTCTAGAAATGAAGTAAGTACCTTGATTTCTCTAATTTCTAGAACAAGTAAAATTGCTACTTTGTTATAAGAGAAGGGTTTTTTTTTTTTTCTGCAGGTGTTTTTTCTATGTATATATTTAAGTCTGAATCTAAGGACTTTTAAGAGTTGTAAGACGGTTAAATTTCTTTAAAATATGGAAATGCAAAAGTCTTCATTTTAGAAGTACTCAACAATTGACATGAGAAGAATGTTTTGAAAGCTATCCTTTGTTACATGCCCTCGTGGCCAGGAAGGCCAATGGCATCCTGGGGTGTATCAGAAGGGGGGTGGTCAGTAGGTCAAGAGAGGTTCTCCTCCCCCTCTACTCTGCCCTGCTGAGACCGCATCTGGAATATTGTGTCCAGTTCTGGGCCCCTCAGTTCAAGAGGGACAGGGAACTGCTGGAGAGAGTCCAGCGCAGAGCCACCAAGATGATGAAGGGAATGGAGCATCTCCCTTATGAGGAAAGGCTGAGGGAGCTGGGTCTCTTTAGCCTGGAAAAGAGGAGACTGAGGGGTGACCTAATTAATGTTTATAAATACGTGAAGGGTGAGTGTCAGGAGGATGGAGCCAGGCTCTTCTCTGTGACATCTAGTGATAGGACAAGGGGCAATGGGTTCAAGCTGGAACATAGGAGGTTCCGCTTGAGTATGAGGAAAAACTTCTTTACAGTGAGGGTGACAGAGCACTGGAACAGGCTGCCCAGAGAGGTTGTGGAGTCTCCTTCTCTGGAGACATTCAAGGCCCGCCTGGATGCGTTCTTGTGTGATCTGATCTAGGTGTCCTGCTCCGGCAGAGGGATTGGACTAGATGATCTTTCGAGGTCCCTTCCAATCTCTAACATTCTGTGATTCTGTGATTCTGTGAAATAAAATATCAGCACAGTATAACTTCCATGAGAAATTGAGGGTCTAAAGCCCCACCTTTCAGTGGGAATTCTACGTAGAAATTCTATTAATGTCAAATTCAATGAAAGGAGTTTATTACCTTTATATGGATGGTGTGAAGTTTATTGCAGTGAATTGGTTGAAAAAAAACCCAAAACAACAAAAACTTATTTGCATACACATTATCACTATGTGTATGTGTACAGAATGAAAGAGGAGGATAGACCTATAATTTAAATCTAACTTCTTACCCATAATAAAGATAAATATCTGTAATTATGGGGTGTTAAAGTTCCTACATGCTCTTTAAAATTGGCAAAAAAGAGTGAACCTGTTATGACTTCGCTTAGGCTGGTGAGTGTGTAGTTAACCTTCAACAAAGAAAATTCACAGTTGTAATTTCCAAGTTCTTTTATCAAGGGAGGGAAAAGAAAACCCAAAACACTTAAGCCATGTATAACTTCAGCTAAGTTGTTGTAGATATCCTTATATTTTAAAGGAAGGTAAATAATCAGAAAAAATGCTGATACTGTAATGGAAGCTTGAATGTTTCCAGTGAAGTCAAAAGAACCTCTGCTTTTGACTTTAAAGTGGTCTATATCTATACAGAAGAATGGGAGCACATATGAATTAGAGTAGTATGTGATATTATATTCTATAATAGATATATTTTTTAGTTTTCTGATTTTCTTGTATATGTACATATTAATTCATCTATGATAACTCAGATGCTCAGTGCCAGTATATTTCATTCAGTCATCTATTTTCTGTATCATGCTTTGGTCTATTTCTTTGAGTGTGTGCTTGGTTCTCATCCTAATGGTAAGATTTTTTTTTTTTAATCATAATTATCAATTATTGAGCAACTTAGGCAAAAAACCAAACAGTATCTTTAATTCTGTTATTGTGACTTTTTTAGTGGGGTTCACAGAAGGACTGTGTAACTTCAGTCTGGGAAGTGAAGTAAAAAACTGGTGAAGTTTGACTTTTCTTTTGAACAAAGGACTACGTGGATGGTACTAGTGGTGAAAGACCCAATATCAAAGGTCCAACTTCGGAATAGTTTGGAATTTAAAATGAGATATAAATGTATGGTTGGTTTTTACAACATAAATTTTCAAAGTAAAATAGTAAAGTTAGAATAAAAATTTGAATTAGCATTTAAAAATTAAATGAGTAAAAATTTCCAGTTAAATGTGTGGTTTTTTTATTTTCTTTGAGTAATCATTAATATGGTTTCTTTTGTAAAACACTTCTTTCTTACTTTCCTTTCCTGCCTTTGATTTCTTAATTGCTACTTTGTTAGCTGTGTAAGTATGTAGATGTTTTCTGCCATTACCTTATTTTCTGTCTTCAAGAGAAACAATTGTTCACAGACAGTTTTCATTTTTAATCCTGAACTGATGTAAAATTAATTTGAATTTTTAAGTTAATAACAAACCTCTCTGTAATAATAAAATACAATTTATTATAATGCATATGTCTTCCTACTTAGGCCACAGACCTACCTACCTCTGCTAGGTAGCTTTCCCAGCTACCTGTGTCATTGCCTGTAAGAGTTTAATGCTCTAATTCATATACAAATCACTCCCCCTGAAATCTATACTTCAGCTAATAACTTAGAATTAGAAGTCACTTTAATTTAAAACAAATATTCCATTACTATTTTTAATTCTATGCTAACTTTAGTTTCTGTGAGATCTGTTACAAGGCTAAATTCATATTGGAGATGGAATCAGACAGAACTTCTGTTGCTTCTTGGGAAATGAATACAGTTATCAGACATCAGGACAGCTTTTCAAGTCTAGGAGATAGGAAATAGAGTTACTGAACAAAACAAAATTTATAAAATCACGCCACAATATTACTAGACAAAGAGAACAAATAGAATAATGACAGAAATTCACATGATCATGTTTACTTTTTTTCTTTTTACTGCCTCTTTAGCAACGTTAGCACTGAGTCAAAGAAGCAAAAATCAACATACTTGTTCATTTTTTTGACCTCTGTGTAGAGGAATGGCTACATGATTTCTGTTAAATGTAAATTAAATGGAAATCATACTTTCAGATTATTTAATGAGATATACTAAACAACGTAAACTAATAGATACACATGTATTAGTAGACATCTTCTAGAAATAATTCAGATATTTCATTACAGCAGTTTAATTTTTGAAATTGCTCACTGTATGACAAACTTGATATAACTGCTGCATTAGAATAAAATATACAAAATATGGCATTACATTGTTTTGAATGAATAAGGTATTCTCAAAAACAGATTGTAGAAGCTAGCTAAGATCCAGACGTCCACTGACAGAATAATTATAATTCAGTGTTGTAGTTATATACTAAAAAAGTGTGTAATCTCTCTGATATTTTAAGAAAATTTATTAATTGGCAGCATTGACCGTAACTTCTAGTTATCATTTTTCAAATGTAGTATTCAGTGATTACAGTTTTCAGCTGCTAGCTCTCAGTTAAATAGGCATGAACTGTGTGTTTAAGAACATTCGTGATGATTTCCTATGCTTATATTATGTTCAAGTTCCAAACATAACTCTGCATTCTAGGTCCATCTGGCTGACATTGCCAAGATCCATCTTAATTTACTGGCTACAATCAGTTGTCAGTTTTAGAGAACTCCTTCAGTTGTCATTACATATTCCCATATACATTCAGTTATTTAAGAAAGTTTAGAATAAAACTGGATATCAGCTTAATGTTGGTCCTGTTGTTGGTCTTTTTAAACTGGAAACTAGATAAGTACCCATTAAATGAAGGGTAGTTTGGTGAAAGGAGATAAACATCAAATTATTCTTAATGTGATGCCAACGTGAAAAAATAAGATTTTAAAGAATTACAAAGTGTTAAGTTTGGAGAAGGATTTGTATTTGCATACTGCTTTCTAAATATGTGATTTTTTTTTTCTAAATGTCTATTAAAAATATTACTATATTAGTTCTGGAGGAAATATTTTTGTTATGGTCATATTATTTTAACAGTGCACACATAACTCATACTGACATTAATGGAAGTTACGCATACATGTTAACAGTAAAATGCAGCATATGTTCAAATCCATCATTTTGTCTAATTGTCTTAATGCTTTGTGCTCTCTCATAAAAAATAATCAATGCACTTTTTATTTTTTAATAAGTGATAGATTTAAAAAAATCTGTATTGCATAGCATGACAAAAGGTATGTTAATATTTTTAAAAAATGTATTTATCATCCATAGAAAGATTTCAATTGTCCTGACCTTAAAAACTGGTAGTTAGAAATATTTATCAAGACTGCTTTTTCCAGACATTGTTTTTGTTTTCTGAGAGACCTCAAGGAGTATAGCCTACTGTGAACTTCACAAGGCTTGCCTAGAAAAGCTTATTCATTTTGTAATATGAAGAGCTTGAGGGTAGGAGAAGTTTCTGCCCTGTGATGTGGTGGAGGTTTTTTCAGATGTTTCAGAAATGCCATATTTGTGGAGCATACTTTCATGACCACAAGGCGTCCACAATGCTTTGATACAGATGTTCTTTCCTATATGGTGGTTCCTTCCAGAACTCGTAAACCTGCTTGTAACAAAATTAGATAGCTGTAGAGATAGATGAATGAGTATTTATATAACATTAAAACTGCTTTATATATATGTGAAATAAATGCCTGTCCTTATGGAAAGTGGATTTTACTCCCTGGGATAGATAATCTTTTTAGAAATGGTCAAAATTATTTTCCCTTTGAAAGTCTGACCTGGAGAGCCACTAGTCATAAAAGAAAGTCTAATGGCATGAGAGGGACCACCCACCACCAATCCCCCAACCCCCAAAACTTTATCAAAACCTGGGGTTTTCTTGGTTAAAAGCCCTTGAATTAACTTTATGTGGTGTTTACTCTACTTAAAAATATGTTTAAATACAAGATTAAAAAAAATTCATAATGGTTTTGCATTAATTTGATCTCTCAGTGACTTAGTTATATGTGAGAAACACTGCACTTAGTAGTGGGTGACCATGGGGTTAGTCCCTCAAGTGTGAACTTCATGTTTTGTCGTGAAGATCAGTGAATTCTTAATTTTTTAGATCCAACTGTTAATTACTGAGCG